GCACAAGGGCTTTGACAGCTGTTTTGACAAGAGCTAATGGCAGTTGGTACTTAGAGGGAATGAGGGGCCATGAGCAGGGACAAAGACAAGGGACACCTCTTGATAGGGCAGAGTAGTCTGTCCCTAACCTTATCTGGCACTACTCAAGAGCAAGCTGGAGGGACCAAGCCTGCCTTCATACACCAAAGCCCTTCAGGACTTTGCCAGCTCTGATTTCCAGTTTGGAGGTTTGTTTCCAGTGCTTCTGCTAGCCTGGGGGCACCAGCAGGCACACAACATGGCACAGGGTCCTCCTGCCAACCCTGAGAGGTCTATTGTCCTCATCTACACCTTGTTGAACAGCACTCTGTAGCTCAGCACTGCTAGCAGGGGAATAGGAACCCCACCTTCCTTGTTTCTGTCTCCTCTCTCATTTGTAGGTACTACAAGAAGTTCTCTATTCCTGACCTGGACCGATACCAGCTCCCCTTGGACGCAGCTGCCCTGAGCTTCACCCATGCCAACAACACCCTGATTATCACGGTGAGGTTTTAGCCATGTAGAACAGCACTTTGCCCTTCTCTTTATGTCCACAAAGAATTTAAAATTCTTACATGTGGGGAAATGAGGCAGAGCAGCGAGATCTGCTGAGGGTCACTGATGAGCCCCCTGCTCTGTCACACAGTCAGTGGGAGTTTCAGATTACACTGGGCATGCTGACACTAGCCAGGACAGCCCAGGCCACAGGAGGGGCCCTTCTTGCTGCTCAAGGTGACTTGCAGGTGGAATAGTGTCTATTGTGCCCTGTTTTCCATGTATCCCCCTCCCCCAGGCCTAAGCAAGCTTCCACTCTCAGTCACAGCAAGTTTCTCTTGCCTCAGAGCGTAAGTGTTAAACGTCCAAGGACCTGATGTGCTTAGAGGTCTCACAGTCTTAAATAAAAAATAAAATAAAAAAAAAATATATCACCTGCTGCTTTGTGTTGGAGAGAACACATGGAGAGGACATGCTTCCGTGCACATGGTGGAAGTGAGAGACTAGCAAAATGGGCACTTGTTGCAAGAAGCAGAGGCAGACAAATGCTTTTGAGCAGCAGGTGCTCATCTTCTTAAATGTAGAAGTCAGCCACCCAGAGAGCATCCCCTCCAAGGGAAACCTCGCAGCAGAACTGGGGGCGCACGTGCAGAGGAAATAGGCCAAGAGGAGCAGCTTAAGTCCTTCTGAGCTTCTGTTTGCTATGGGCCAAACCCTTGCCAAAAAGCACCTGCATCCACCACTAAACTGCAGCTGGGCAAGGGGGCTCCGAGGGGAGGACAGAGGAACTGCAACTCTTACTTCTCTGTCTGCCTTTTAAAAAATGCATATTGTATTTTTATATATATATATACACACACACATATAGAAAACACATGTGAGCATACAACCAGCGAGCACACCAGGGATCTGCATGACACAGCTTGCCAGGATATTCCAGAGGGGTTGCTGGGGGACAGGACTCCACATCTAACTGGAAAGTTTCACCTGCACTGTAAAAGACCCTCCAAGATCTTGACAAGTGTCCCTAGTGTGATGGCACCACCTCCCCAGATGGGCTTTGGAAGTAGCTGGTAACAGAAGGGCACCCCTTGGCAGGAGGGTCCCAGCTGCACTGGTAGCAACTGACCCCAGTTGGTCTGCTTAGAGCAGAGGCCGAACAGGAGTGCTAAGGGCTTTTCTCTCTGTCCTACAGTATGAGAAGCCGAAGGAGATCCTGGCTGCAGAAGAGCAGCTGCAGAAGGAGCTGAAGAAGATAAAGGCAGCAAACAACGGGGATGGTGACTGTAAGACCCAGTAAGCAGTGGCTGCCAAGAGGCTGAGGTGGGGGGCAGGTCTCCAGCACAGGTTCACAGTATTTATTTTGCCTTTTCCAATAAAAATGAGTCCTGTTGTTAATAGAGATGCTTGGAGGAATCTTTGCAGGTCCAGGGAGACGGCAGGGCAGTCAGTCTCTTTACTGCCAGGTCTGCTGATTTACAGACATTTATGATCCTTCTACGAGTTGTGGGAAGCTGCGGCATGCAAAGGAAGCACACTGCATCCACAGCCAGCAGCCTTTTCCCCATCCTCCATGAGCAGGAGCGACATGAAAGCTGGGTAGTTCCCCTTGGGAATTCCGTCTCTCTGCCACCATTGCTGAAGGCAGTAACATTTGGAAACCAAGAACCCTGTCCTTGTACTGCTTACCTGCCTGGGATGTGCTTTGAAGCAACTCCCTCCTGCACTGTTGTGCAAGGTCCTCCGTGCAGTTAGCAGGATGCTCTGGTGACCCCGGTATCTCTGCAAACAGCATCAATGCTTAGACCTGAATGGGCACAGCCTGTGAAATAGGGTGAAGAGGAGGACACCCAACTGCTTCCTTACCACCAGCCATGTGCAATGTGACATGCAGAATGCAGACGGCTGCGTAGAACACAGGAACCAAAATGCAGCTGCCTTCATTTGCATGGCATGGAGGGGAAAGTGGTGGCAGGGGCTGCTGGCCAGCTCAGGAGTAGCAGTAGCACACCCCTTCCATGAGGGCACAAACACGGCCGGTCACGAATCTCACTGCAGAGACAGCACCCCATGCACAAGGACAGCAGTGCTGCTTTAGCAACTCGCCCTCCAAACAGCTACAGTCTCTACCCTGTGCCAGCCATCCCTGTGGTTAGATTTCTGCATGTCCTTCCACCCCGGTTCATATTTGAATGGCTCCTACCCAAACAAACCCTACTTTTAAGTAGTGAGCCGGTCGCAGGCTCCCAGCGTAGCTCCCCTGATGAGGACTGCTTTCAAACCACAAAAACTCCTGAGAGCCTGGGTGGCATCCCCAGTTAGAGCCTCACTGCTGGGTGGCTCAGGACCCACCTGCATAGTCCCCACAAGACAACGGAGGCACCATTGACTAGCAGAGCTCATCAGAGCCACTGTGCCAGCCCCACTTGCAGCTTCCCCATTCCCCAACATCACCCGAGATGTGAGGGTACATCCCTCTACCCATCAGTGCTGGCACCACCATGGGACTGCAGCTCTGCTCCTGGCTTCAGCCAGGAAGAACCTAAAAGCAGCTACAAGTGTGCAGGACCCACCAACATGGGCTGCAGAAAGGAAATGGCAGGACTGACAGCAGCAACATTGCAGGCAGGGCTGTCATGGGAGGAGTCTCCTGCGCCAGTGATACTCGTTCACCTGCTCAGCTGACATGCTCATTCCTACTCTGGGCCTTGCCCAAGTCCCAGTGCAATAAAGAACCTCTCCTCCCACCCAACAGTTACTTCAGTTCCCTCACGTTGGGGACACTGCCAAAGACATTTAATATCTCCATCCCTCCCTCCCAATTTCATTAAAGGACCTGTAACACACCACAACCTGAGAAAAAACAGACCTCCCCCAGTCCCAAGCTCTGCCAGCTCACTCTCTCTGGCCTTAGATCTTGTGCCTAATCACTTACCTAAAGCTCTCCACACAGGCAGGGCCCAAAGTACTCCAAGCAATACAGCAGCAGTAGTTAGCAACCCCTGATGCAAAGCACTATCTTTTCAGCAACAGCTCAGTGTTACCTATAACCCAGAGGTCCCCCCAGGATCATTATCTTGACCTAGCAGCCTTTGGGATCTACAGCTTTGAGCTGATGGAAGATTGTTCCAGCCATGGTGTCTTTTTACAGCAGCAGATCATTGCTTGGGGCACTTAGACATCAACTCTGCCACTTACACAAGAACGTGTAGCACGATGGTAGCTACAAGGGAGATGGCAGCAAGCAGGCACGAGTGGCAGCAGAGAAACAGATACAGATCAGGAACTGTGACAGGGAGCTGTGCTGGAAAGATCCTTGTGAGAATGCGATCCTGCAGCAAAGCCATAATTTTAAATTACGTTACACCATGAGCTGCTGTCTCACGTCCACCGGGAATGGAGGACTCCCTTCAAGAAGGTGAGGAGCTGGTTGGTTCCACTCCCTCCCTGCTCAGGCAGGGGCTCCAAACACCCTCTTCCAATTTTTGTGCATCACAAGGGAAGAGCAGCCTCTTACCTGTTAAGTTCTAACAAAGGACCACGCTGTGTGCTTCACCCTAGATGGGCTCCCAGTTTGTGATACAAAACCGCTCCTTTACCTATCCAGGATAGCCAAACTCACAGCCAAGTAGGGTACACGCACCTCCTTCCCCAATGACCAGATCACAGACATCGCTGCATTCACCCACAGCACTTCCATCCACAGACATCCACATTCATCCAGACAGCACAGAGCACGCTGAAAGCTGTAGTTGTTCTGAGAGCCAGCTTGGGTTCAGAAGGCTGACACAAGAAGGAGCCCACTTAGATGTGCCTACAGGATCCCAGTAAATCACATCAAGGCCTTGGTGTTTGCACTAGTCCAGTTTGCTGCTTCATTATGCAGGCAGCAAGCAAGTTGCAGATCCTACTTTTTGAATTCTTGTTTGAACAAGTGACACAAGATCCAAGATCCCAGGAACTGCCTTCAACACAGCAGCATCACAGGATCTAGCCAGGGAGAGATATCTATTAGATATGTAGACAGTGTCTGAAAAATAGGCCCAACCTCCTCCACCCAGCCAGGCCTCTGTGATCAGTGGGTAACATCGCAGCCCCTTTGGAACTTGAAACAAAACATACAGTCTCTTTTGTTTGCCTTCAGAGTTTTATTTAGCAAAATGCAACCGTTTCAGCCCTGCCAAGTGCACAGCCCGACCTGATGGCCAGCTTGGGGAGGCATACACTGAAAGCAGGGCTGGCTCTGCCTTTTAGCTCAGTTCTTGCTCTTGACTGCAAAGGACAACACAAGCAGCTGTCGAGAGAGCAAGCGCAGGTGAAAGGTGGGCCCCGCTCCAGACCCGTTTCCCTTCCACCAAATCAGTCCACCCCACACACAGCCTAGACTTGCTTCACATGGCTCAGAGCTTGGCTGATCTCAACCTGAACAGCACACACAGCTGACAGGGCATCCCAGCTCAACTTGCCCCTCAAATGCTGTATCCGCAGAAAAAAAAAAAAAAAAAAAAAAAAGAACACAATTAATATAACAAACCCTGACTTGCACAAAATAAAAAGGGTAAAGGACAATCGGCCTTTATTTCCACTAACAGGCAGGTGAGGTTGAGAAAGTCTGGCTGTTTGTGCACTCTTCATTGTAGCTTTCTGGCAGGCAAAAAAATCCCTTCAGAAGCCTCACGGGCCATTCTCACCTCTCTTGCCCTGTGATTCCCTGAGCCAAGTGTCAACTCTGCTGAGTTGGGGTGACCAGAAGCAGCGGCGGTACCCTTCATGGGGCTGTGAAGTCTAGGACGTGTAGGGCTGATGCCAGGGCAGCGTACAGATGGGTGGTACTGAAACGGAGGCAGTACACTGGGCTGCTGGTGGGTGAAGACAGGTGAAAGCTCTGCAAGAAAATAGGAGAATCAACCTTTCAAAGAAGAGGTCAGCCCAAAGACCCCAACTGGTGTCACAGACACAAAGGCTGAGATGCCTGAGCAAAGCAGGCTTTTCCATGCATATAGGTTAGGCTCTCCACAGTGGGCTCGCCCCAAAGACAGTACAGCAGCCCCTCTCTCTTCTTCCAAAGAGACATTGGCACTGGCCTGCCGGAGAACAACTCAAAAGCTCTGCTGCTGCCCAGCCTCTGGCCAGCCCTCACCTGCAGGCACCGAGTCTGCCGTTTATCCCAAAGCCGCACCACACCGTAGTAAGAAGAGCCACTGGCAATCATATGGTTCTTATCACTCCTTATGCAGTACAGGGCACTGTCATGGGGCTCTTCCCACTCCTGGACGCACTTCCTGCAAGGGCAACACAAAGCCGAGCAGGGCTGAACCTCCACTCCTGCACCACTGAAACTGAGACTCAATTTGCCTGAAGGAGCTAATTCAGCTGCAGGCAAGTCCCCAGACACTGCACAAGGAGAGCCCAGGAGCCTCATGCAGGCTCCAGATGCCAGCAGGGTAGGCTCACCTGGTGCTGGTCCGTATGTCCCAGTAGCGGATGTAGGTGTCATATCCACAAGAAAGGAGAAGGGAGGGTGTTTCATAGAAGACATCGAGGACTCCAGCTCCACGGTGGAAGTCAGTCCCTAAACAGGTCAACAGCTGACCGCTGCAACAAAACACAACAGGGGGAGACTCATTCAGAGCAAAGTACCCTTCCAATTGAGCTGGCCAGAGCAGAGATGGTACCACAGAAGTCTCCTAGATCTCATTTCTGTGATTTAGCAGAATGCAAAAGCCTGCACAGTTTTCCTCTCCCTTCCCCAGCTTCTGCTGCTGGTTGGGCCACTAACTGTCATGGAGGATGACCAGCAGGAGTCACAGCTGTAAAAGGAAGAGCCAAGGAACTGGTACAGCTGACCCCCAGCAGAACAGGATCATTTTCCTTGGGAGAAGTGACCAGTACTCTGAATGATGGGCCTCCATTCCCATGGGAGAAAATTCTCTACTTAGTCAAACTCCACATAATCTGCAAGAGCCGCTTACCTAGTCAATCCCATCCCATCCCAGACTCTATCCTTCAAAATACTCCTCACTGGGGTATTTCCCCATATCTTTGACACACAGCTCAGATCCACAGGCAAATGAGACTCTCCTGACCCAGCCTGCCATGGATGTTCTCCTCAACCCCCTCCAGTCACACTGCATACTGCAAACACCATATCTGAGGCTGAACATGACAGATCAAGAGCAACCACCCCAGAGCTGCTCTGGAGATGACTTTCCAAAGGCTAGCTTTTTTTTTTCTTTTTGACCCTCTCCTCCTTTCTAATTCCTTGCTTGCTGTGAAAGAACAAAAGCAAGATCTCCATGAAGCTCTAAGACAGATGCTTTGTGGCTGTATCACTCTGCTGCTTGTTCATGTGCAAGACCAGCAGCTCACCAGGCGGATGGTGCTTGGTGAGGGCCCACCCTGCCAGACTGCAAGAAGGAGTTTGAGCCCCTTCCCTGGGGCATATGAAATTGCATCAGGCACACGGCACAGCCCATCCCCAGTATCACTCCACCTGCCCCAGCAGCCAGCAACACCTGGCCATAGCAGACTCTTGGGAACAGAGGGGACAACCTGTCCAGCTGCTTGGAATGGCCACCTATTGCAAACTCTCCTTTTTTTCCTCCTCACACTCTCTAAATCAAAAATGCTGGACACAATAAACCTTGAAGCACCTGCTTTTCAAACCCAGCCACACAGCCACCCCTCTCCAACAGGCTCTTGGTTCCCAGGACAATGAAGCAGTCCTGAAAGCCGACAGCATGGATCCCACAGTGGGGTCACTCCCAGCATCTCCCCCCATTATTTTGTTACTTTCTGCTCCTTGATCCAGCATCACACAGTTCTGAGGCACATCGCCAAATGCCTTAATTCTGTCTGTAATCTGGGCTAAAGCCCTCATCGGGGGATAAAGACCACACAAAAGGAGAAATAGAGTCCTGGGAGATGTTAAAACAAGTAAACACCTTTGTGTCAGGAGAGAGAAATCGCTGATAAAGCAGATTAGCGCCTCGAGCCCTGGTGTCCCCAGATCAGAAGGCGAGCCCTGGCCGATCTTTGCAGCCAGCACGCTTCTATGATCACAGAGCTGGCGGCATGCTGGGGCCAGCCTGTTTCCCCACAGTCACTCTCCAAAGAGCAGATTATGTAGAATAACAATTTCTTTGTGGCTGTGTAATTCCCTCCGTGACCGTGGCTGTGGGCAGCTACATTGGCCCTTGATGCCAGGACCCTAGCAACCATTTAGAGAGGCCAACCAGCCCTAGCGATGGCCCCCCCGTGCAAACCTCTCGGACAAGCTTTAACATCAAGTGCATGAATTAATCCCCCCCAACACGAATCCAGGGGTGCTGGCTTATTGGACTTTGTGTTTCTCCAGGCAAGGGATCGAGGGGATTCCAGGCTTCAGCCCTTTGCAACCTTCTCACAATACATTAACCCTTGGAAGGTTACTCGCAAACCAACCCAGCAGCAACTCTGCACCTGTATGCAGGTCGAAAGGTTGAAGCATTCACAGTCTGAAAACTGGGAGCAAGAGCCGTGGGGTTGGCTGGGGCAGATGGGTCCTTAGCTCCACCATGGAGTGAGACATGGATGGGCATCTCTGAGCTCTGGCACTCCCCTGCCCCTCCAAGCACACAGATCCCCTCCATCTGCTGTTCTGCAAAGCCAGCAGGACAGATGGACATGCATACAACCCTTCTCAAGGCTTCCACAAAACCTTCTTTATCCTACAAGTTGTATGTGTGGCCCAGAGTTGTAAGACTACAACACAGGTATGAGGAGTCAGCTGCTCTCCCAAAAAAGAACCCTTGGATTACCTGTGAGATGCATAAGGGGCCAGACTGCCCAACCCGTAGAGTCCTCTGCCAGTTGCTCAGGCAGGAGCAGGGAGTTACTCACAGGAGATGAGCTATCTCAGTGAGCCCTAGGCAGCGCCAGCAGCTTGGACCCCTCTCTCCCCACTTCCACATGCTACTGGTTTTTTTGGGTTTCACAGGGTAGCCCCAGACTGGTGCTCTGAGCACGTGGCACTTCAGGAGAGGAAACCAGGACAGGCAGCTGCACATGAACCACACAGCCCAGGAGCATATGTAGTGAATATCTCCAGCTAGCTAGCTGAAGCCTGTTTGTGTTATTTCCTCTCCACCATTTTCCCTGCTAATACACCTTTAATATGTAAAAGACTAAGTGAGCTCAGGGAGAGAGGAGCACTGTGCTGAGGAAAGGTAGCAGGATGAGAAGCATATCCAGGGATCTTTTAGTCACTGGGACCATCCCTCTTCCTCTTCTCAGGTGCTTGAAAAGGGTCACAGCAGATCTCCTCACAACCTCCCACCTCTAAACAAGTGCCCATCACACCCAGAGCGAGCCTGGCCACACTAAAGCTTGTCTTCCATCTCTCAGACCAGACCTCAGTCTACAGTGCTGCAAGATGGCAGCAATTTTTAATGGCAGCCTGGCAATGTCTCCAAGTGAAAAATTTCAGCAGCAAAGGGACAGGAGAAACCAGGGAGTCTGGATTCCTGCTTTCAGAGCTTCCTGTGCAGCACTGAACACCACCCAGGTGCCTCACTCCCAGTGCTTCCCCATGCCTTCACACCTCACTGCAGTGGTACCCAAGCATCCCAGCAGAGTCACACCCATTTTCCTCCCTCCACTTCCCTTTCTAGGCTAGGCAACGAAAAACAAAGAAAAGAAAAAGTGGGGGAGGAATAGCTTTTCTCTGTAGGCAGGAGAGGAACACAGATACTTGCAAGATACTGCAGCAAAGCAAACCTTGCTTCGCTAGTTTGTTAATCAGTTCAATTCTCCTGCCCCAAGAATAGGTCAGCCAAAGCAGCTTTCAACTGGGAGGTCCAGCCCCTGCATAGAGCAGCAGTCCTTCAGCAGTTTACAGAAACAATGCATTAGTTGCTACAGTGAAGCACTTAGAACCTGACACCAGGGGAAAATCATACTGTGCTGTACAACGGGCACACAAACCAAAAGACCTAAGTGTTCTGGCATGGGCACACTTAAATTGATAAAGATGCAGAACACTATTAATAATTTCCCCCATTTTTCAGCAGATTAAGGTGTCTCTGGACCAGCTACCACCATGTCAGGCTAGCTCCATGTCCCTGCAGCATACACAGCCATGCTGAGTCCATGCTAGAAAGGGACTCTCTGCTACCACAACTCTCCCAGCCTTGGAATCACAAGTTAGTGCCCACAAATTGTCCAGTCTTCATTATCCCAAATACTCCTTGCCCTCAAACCCCAGTCCCCAACAGCTTCCACTTCCTAGGTAGCAAAACCCACAGCTAATCCTTACAGCAAAACCCACAACTAATCCTTAATAACCCATAAAGGATCAAGACAACCCATCAAGGGGCAACAGAAAAGCAGCAGATACATCAGCACATCACCAATTGCTTTCTAACAACTTACATAGGCAGAAGGTGTCTACTCAATAAGGGACAGCAAGAGATGTGATAGCTATCTTGAACCTTGTTTCTCACCAGCTTGCAGAGAACACCAGCACCAGCCAAATACAGCAGGGAACAGCTTTCTCCTTTCCTTTGTGGGCCCTTTTTCACTCTCTGCACCCAAACACTTTCGAAAAACCAGGTAGCTGATCCTCAGTGTCCTGGTTTCAGCTGGGATAGGATTAATTGTCTTCCTAGTAGCTGGTACGGTGCTATGTTTTGAGTTCAGTATGAGAAGAATGTTGATAACACTGAAGTTTTCAGTTGTTGCCAAGTAATGTTTAGTCTAAAGTCAAGGATTTTTCAGCTTCTCATGCCCAGCCAGTGAGAAAGCTGGAGGGGCACAAGAAGTTGGCACAGGACAGAGCCAGGGCAGCTGACCCAATGTGGCCAACAATGTGACATCACATCTAGTATATAAACTGGGGGGAGTGGGGGCACGGGGATCGCTGCTCGGGGACTAACTGGGCATTGATCGGCAGGTGGTGAGCAATTGCACTGTGCATAATTTGTATATTCAAATCCTTTTATTATTACTGCTGTCATTTTATTAGTGTTATCATTATTAGTTTCTTCTTTTCTGTTCTGTTAAACCGTTCTTACTCAACCCACAAGTTTTACTTCTTCTCCTGATTTTCTCCCCCATGCCACTGGGTGGGGGGGAGTGAGTGAGCGGCTGCGTGGTGCTTAGTTGCTGGCTGGGGTTAAACCACAACACTCAGCACTTCAGAGGCCAGGGTGCCCTGTCCTTGTTACACGCTATGACAGTTAGTCAGCAAGTGACTGTGAAGCCCAAGCAAGACCAAGCATGGAAGGTCCACACCAACTCCCCACCATGCCCTGGCTCTCCAGCAGCAGCAAACAGAGGCTGTTTCACTCCCAGGCCTTCTTTGGGCAAGCCAGGTAGTTAGCTGTGCAGATGGTGGGAGTTTTGCTATGTTTTCTGTACTGAATAGCTTGGACCAGATAGTGCCAGGGTTCAATCCCAGTGCTGGGTGGCACCAACAGAAACAACTCCACACCAGTGGAGCTCTGTGGAGCAGAATCACAAATGTGACAGAAAGACCTGTCTAGAGCCAGAGCTCTCTGCTTCAGCACCTTAACCACAAACCACCTGGGCCAATGCAGTGCCTACAGACACAGAGG